TGATACCCTGAAAGCTCACAATCAGCCACCAAGCCCCAGTGTTGTTATAGAGACTTGATGAAAGCCATGGCCTGACAAAATATGCAGGGCTCACAGCTCCCTGCAATGCATGCTAAAGAGTAAGGTATGCTTTCTTCTTTTATTAACAACAGAATGTGCAAAGCAGTACTACTGCTACTACTACTAACAATATTTATTCCTCTTTCCACTAAAATGATGGTGACTATTCCAGAGAATGTCAAAATAGTGGCCAATTTTAGCTAGCAGGGTTGCTAACAATAATCAACCCCATTTCATCCTTTCTGAAGCCAACGATTAAAGCAATACACTTTCCAGGGTCAATCTCAGGACGAAAGAAGACTAAAAAGCCCTTCTACACTTCATAAAGTTTCTGCTCCACATAGTTTTTAGGCACCATCCTCATGCCTGGCTGATAAGAAGTAGATTTCTGTTAACGAAAGGAAGACTGATGTTGTAGTATTTTAAATTTTTGCTCCACAGTCATCATCAAGTGACACTGATCATGCATTTAACTATACACTAAACACTGGAACTACAAAAAGAATAAAGTTCATTCCTTTTCTTCAAGAACATATGGTTTTAGCTGCAGAGACAGGAGAGACAAATAAAAGGAAGCGGGATACACATCCAATGTGTTAAGAAATTAGTAAGTGGTACAGACACTAAGCTTTATGGAACTCTTTCCCCTGTTGCTTGCCTATGTATATTCATTCCCAGCACCAGTTTCTTTCATCTCTGGTATCACACAGTGACCATGTATTTCTCTGCCTACCCTATCCTCATCTTCTTATCTCATGGCTACCCATCTCTACAATAAATTCCCTCCCTACTGGATCCTGGGGATTACCTGACTACGTTGCACAAACATTATCTTTCCTGCTTGTGTGAATTTCATATGCAGAGTTATAAGTAAAAATAATAATAGTAATAATACCTGCCTCACGAGCTAAAATTAGAAAAATTACATAAAACACCTAGAATAGTAATTATCACACAGTAAATTTGTTAGCTATAATCATTATTGTTAATAGTTTATTATAATTATATGTGATAGATGTAAGCAAATTAAAGAAATAGAATTTGTCTTCTACCAATTCTAGTATAATACATAGAAAAAGTCTTCATATATTTAGGATAAGGAGTAGAATATGATTAAGATTACATGAATGTTTTAGGAAAAAGCAGTAGGAGTTAAGATGAGAGATGGAGGGCCTTATTTTGCCATCACTGTGGAGGGCTCTGAATGCTAGGGAAAGAGAGACTTTATCTGTAAATACTAAAAAGTAACTGAAGGTAGTTAAAAGTCTTCCAAGTGTGAAGGGAACATGGCAAAGAGGTGTCACATATCACACTATATCCCAGGAAGAGTAATTCTACAGTACGATGCATGATGTTGAGGCAGGGGGGATAAGGTGGACCACAGTAGTAGAAAGACTATGTAGCTAAGAGGTTATTGTGACATTAGCAGGAAGGCTGGTACTGGCCTAAATCAAGGTAGGATGAGCGGCAGTCATAAATGTGAATGCCCAGATCCTAGAATTACAAACAGTTTATACATCCTGGTTGATAGCAAAATGATGGTGGGAGAAGGGTAGAAGGAATAAAGGTAAATACTGAGGCAGGAGGTCTAGGACTTAACAATGAAGATGAGAAGCCTGCAGATGTGGGGAGGGAAGAAGAGACGATGCGTAACACTACATTTGAGATGTGAGCTCAAGGGTAGAGATGTAGATTTGGAAACCATCCAAATCAAGATGACATTTAGACTGTATCCTCAGAGACCCTGGAATGTAGGTAAAGTACCAGGGTCAGGTAAGATAATCCTTCCTTAAGAATGTCATCCCCTCTAAATCCCTCATTAGGCCCTTTGTAGACAGGCCCTTTATTTTTGTTTTTGGTACCAGGGATCGAACTTGGGACCTTGTGATTGCGAGGCAGGCTGTGGAACCACTGAGCTATATCCCCAGCCCTTAGACAGGCCCTTTAACAACCCACAAATCAGAAAACTAGATCTACTAGCACTTATTTCTAGATATAGTATCATCAAAACCGTGTTTCAGGCTTATGGAAATGGAGTTGGGGTATGGTCAATGTCTACCAATGAGATATGAAATAAAGTCTGACAAATTTAATATTTTTTACTTCAAGTCAAAAATATTTTACAAGAACCACACAAGAGAAACGTTTCAGGCTGAGAAAGTTCAAATTCCTATGCTCAGTCCTGATTTTCTCCTGGAGTTTTCAGGATCTACTTTCCGTTATATTTGTTTTTCTTTGATAAACATTTAAGAGCCCAGGGATTTGAACCATAGATTCGGTATTAGATAAAAGCAGACATTTTGCTGTTTCATGTTACATGTCACAGGAAAAAACTGAGTTCTTCCCTATTCTTCCAAAGAAAAGATAAAAGTTGGAGGAAATGATTTATAAAAATGCATGTAATTTTTCTACACATACTCCAATATACCAAGCACATATTTTGCCATGGGCACCAAATTTAGTTTAATTAGAATAATATTCCTGCCTACACCTGAAATATTTAGTTTCTACCCAGCTCATCATACTGTAATGTTCCCCTGTCCCCAAATGAAATTATGGCAAGCCAGTACCCTAGGACGTGTGCGTGACTTGCATACTGCACGGCTGCACAAAGCTAAGCTCCTTCTCATAAAAGGACAACGGACTTGGCTGCATTGCATGCTAACATCAAGCCACTGGATTTAATCCAGTTAAATACAAGCCTAAATTTGTAAGGCATTTGCTATCCAGTTAAAGATGTGAATTGTGAGCTAATAACCTCTACATACCATCTTATTTCTGTATTTTAAAAGTTACATAGCGGAGCCAGGGATTTAGCTCAGTGGTCCTGCTGCCTGCCTCGCCAGTGCAAGGACCTGAGTTTGATCCCCAGTACCAAAAAAAGAAAAGAAGTTACATAGCAAGAGAAGCAGACAGCATAGTGTGTGCAGGAAACACACTGGTAGCGGAAATATCTGTGACAAATACACCACGTTTCTGGGGCTCCACAAGCATTTGGTTTGGGTAGATGTAAATGTGGCTACAAAATTGAAAGCCTTTTCCCCAATAAATTGAAATCTGTGCAGTTTTCTTTATAAAGGGGTTATAAAAATAAACTTTTCCTTGCCCACATCTCCAAATTGCTATATTTGGCGTAGCGATGAAAAATGCTGGAATTTGTATATAATGTAGCCACCAGATAAGAAAACAGGAAAAGAAAAGGAATGAGGGATTAACTACCAGTCCTACAGAATGAACTTTACCCTGATAAGGTAATATAGTCCCTGTAGGAATGAAAGATGAAAAAATTATAGCACACCTAATACACAGCTATTCACATTGTATACAAATCAAAGTAGGCCTCATGCAGAAACCAAAGCTCAGATCTTCACAGATCTACAGTGAAGCACCACCATCAGAATTAAATAAGGCAGCTTGCTCCGGGTAGGCAGCAACACTGCTGACTAGTCTGGCAGGCAGGAGGATGTCAAAAAGACACATTTTCTATCAAGATGTGGCTTTATCAATGAGTTTACTTATTTACCTAGGAATGTGGTCTTTCGGTGATTAATAATGAGAAATTCTACCATGACAAGTAACTTATCCTTAATGCATCCTGCTCCAAAACAAGCAGCAAAGAACTGCACATCTCCTTAGACAGTTTGTCAATTTCATCTCCTCAATGGAACAGAAATAAGAGCTCACTAATGACAACTGTGAGGGCCATGGTCCCCTGTGGCCTTGGTCTAATGTTACCTAAAAATGGACTTGACTCCCAGTACACTAAGAAAACCCATCCAAGTACATGGCAGATCTATTTGCCTACTTATAGAAAAGAGCTATAGAGAGAACTAGGCTATGTCTTTTTGCCTGAGCCTTCCTAAAGCCATGGGTAATGGAAGACTCTTGACCACAGCTGTGCCAAGCTACTCTGAATCGGCCTTAAAAACTTTTCCAGAGCATAGAAGGTGGGCTCTTTTATAGTAAAGCAAAGGCACAGGAGCTCTTAGTAAATAATGGGAGCATTAATTCAGTCATTATTAGGCATTTAATTCTAGGGCATTTTTGTTCTTAAGACTTGACTTTAAAGAGAACACCAAGACAAATGCTATTTTTACATCTTATAAGGAAATACATTTTTTTAAAAAGGAGGGCAAACAATTTCAAAACAACTGTCAAACATTTTAAGTAATTTCCTATTATAAATTATGCATACATTTATTTAAAAGTTGTTGAGCTTTTGAAAATCATTGTTATCCAGCTCAAGATTCTCAATGGTCACTGCCAGTTTCATCTGCCAAATAATGAAACTTGTTCTTCACGGTCATCATTTAGTTCTCTGAGAGCTAAAAAAGATGGATCTTCACATCTAGGGCAAATATGCAGTACAAGGTACAACTTAAGTGGGAATACATGAGTTGTCTATGACTACAGCAGTTTTTGAGAAAAAAAAGCTTAGTTCCTAATATAAAAAAGAATTTATTTTCAGCTAAACAACTGATATTCCAAAGGTAAGATGAAAGTCTTAATGCTATATTTTATAGCTAATTGAAAAAAAAGACAAAACACCATGTTCTTCATATTTAATCAGAGGGTTAAATACCGTGTTCACATTATTTTTAGCTGTACCTTTATTTACAACACAATGTAAACTAGCTTTACAAAGTGAAACGCATGAAAGACATCTAAGTCCTCCATCTTGTAGTTCTACTGAAACTATTTAGTTTATCTGGCATTAGTAAGTTTCTTCTAGTTCCTTTCAGCATCATCAATGTCACTAATGCATACTCTTAAGAAAAATAAGAATTTTCTATTGCTGTTTACCATGAACTAAGTACCATCATTACAGTGATGTCTTCTGTGGATTATTTCACATTGTCTTCACAGTAATCCTCAGGGACAGATGCAGTGAGTAACTTTACTTTGCAGATGAGAGAACTGAGAGTTTAGTAACTTGCCTAAGGAAGCACAGGCCCAAGTAGGTGTCCAAATGAGGGTTCAAACTCGGCTTCATCTATGGCTTGATCTCTTAACTTCCAGGATATTATCTCATATGTACTTCTGTGATGGCCTAGATACATGCATATGAGGAAATGTGAAAGGTCAGACCTCAGTATTCAAATACAATTCACAATCCAAGATATATCTTAAGTTTTGGGGGACACCGTGGTTTGAAAACTGAGTTAACAATCACCATTGCATTCTTATTATAACACTGTAGAAAAACACAGCCTTAAATGCCCATGACTTTGTTTCTTTGTTCATTTCAAGAAAAATGTTGGTAATTTTTCCTCTGGGAATTTGTGAAGGAGGACCAGTGTTTCTTCTAGGGTATTGTTATAGCTACAGATGACCAAGGCAACTTTCCATGGAGGCTGCATTTGAATTTCTAGCCAATGCATCTTCATACACCATTCTCCTTAAAAGAGAAAGGCAGCCAAGACCAGAACGGCTATGGCAAGGTCTTTGCAAATATTTACAGAGAAAAGAAGATTATATAAATGATATACTGATATTAACATGGGAAGGAAAATTAAGTGGGGTTAAGAAAGAATCCAGGGTTCACATAAAAATAGGGCTTCTACAGAGCCTAAAAATTACTGGCCTTTAACATACACAAAGGCAAATAGCCTCATGAATCCATCTTTAGCCTCTCTATGGTCTGAATTATACTCCACACGATATACTAAAGACAGCCATGAACAGCTTTTATAGCTTTGATGAATGGCTTTTTAGTTTAGGTTGCATTATGAGAACAAAACAAGCGGTTGTGAATCATAACATTTTATGGGTCTGCTGCTTCATATAGTTCTCTAAAATTAAGCCTCTAAATTATACTCCGCCCTCATTAGGAAAACAGTCCCAGGAAGAGGAAAGCATTTTAGAGCCTATACAAAAGAGGTGGTGGTAGATCTGTGCCCAGAGAGCCTGAGTATAATTAAACTGATGGGAGCAGAGCAAGCAGGGAGGTGGGGGCAGAAGGCAGGCAGGTGGGCTGCTCGGGAAACAGCCAAAAGACCCCACTCATCACTAGCCAGAATTGAGGACATATGGGCTAGCAAGGTTCAGAGGCCTGCATGTCCAAGTCATTGAGGGCATCCTGGAGGAATGCAGTGAGGGGAAACAGTCCCTATCCAAAGCTAAGAGAAGAGAGGGTGGGAGAGAAGAGGTTCTAATCAAATCAGTAAGTGTTTATGGAATATTTAGCATCCAGAGAATGCGGTGTAAGTCTTGGGCTGAAAATGGCAGTAAAATAAAGGCTGATACCTCAAGGTAGTTACCATTCAGCCAGGTAAATGGTAACAGACAAGAAAAGCGAACAATGGAAGACAGTATAAAATTAAACATCAACTTCTCTGGAAGCTACTAAGAAACTAAACATTTAGGGCAAGGTGGGGTTAGCTCAGAAGTCTGAGCAAGACGCCTGAGGTAACATAGCACCTTCTACCCCTTGTTGTGGCTCCCTACCTTGCTGCTGTATAGGCCTGATCTTGACTACATCCTCACTGTACCATAGGGTCTTTGCCAGTACCAGCCATGCCACCTTATTCATGTGGTAACTTAGTGCCTAATCACTCAATGTTTATTGAGTGTTAAACATCTCCTGGTTGGACTGAATGCAAGCAAAGAATGAAGACAAGCGTTGAAGGGTCCTGGGCTAAATTTTGAGTGACGATTGAATCACTGAGGCTAAAAATCTGGTGGAGTCTTACAAGCACCAACTTTGTGTCCAGTAAGGAGGAAGAGCTGGTAAAGCAGACATGGCTGGACAGATAAGCTTCTGTAGTTTGAAGCATTTGTGTCTATAAATGGGTCAATTATTTCATGGCCTACAGATGATTTGTTATTATGTTATTACTAACAGAAATAAATGTGAATTATTTTAATACAACTACTGACCATGTTGCCAGTTAACTGGCCGAAAGAATTCGGATATATAGCACAAGAGAGGGGGACAACAGGCTGGCCAGTCCTTTACTTGAATAAATGCTCCCTGGCACCATTTCTTTTCAATAGATTTTAATGTCAGATTCACTGTTTCAGTTTACCAATTATTTAAAGGTTATACTCAGTCAGACAAGGTTTTTTTTTTTAAAAGGAAAAACACAGAGGAAGAGAGTCTTCAAAAAACATAAATCACATTCACAAAAATTTAGATATTGTTACCAAGAACAATCCCAGATGTTCAGCTTCTCCTTTTCTATTTTATCCTCACCATCACTACTACCTTAGCATTCAATAAATACTGTCTCTTTGATAAATTAAAAAAAAAAGAACTTTTCTAATGCTTTAAAGGTATTGTTTAGGTTGTACATTAAAGTTGAAGGTTATGTATTACTTTGTGCTTTAGTATTTTTCTGATTTATTTATTTTAAAGGAGTTTAATCAATAACTAATGTTCTCCTATTTTCAATATGTCTAAGTGGTTAACATGGGATTTTTTTCTAAAAGTTCATTTCTATTAAATGAACTGACCAAACACTTTCCTTCCTAGTTAAATGGACTCTATCCAAGAATGCCACGAAAGACAAAGAATCCAACTGGTTCAGTGGCTCAATCCAATGAAGCATTCACCCTCGGCCCCTGACAGCTCAATCTCAATGCTTCCTGACAGTATGAAGGATTGCTAATTTCTTACACTGTCACTGGTGCTTCTTAAATGCTCACCAATGAACCAAATGTTGATCAGTCAATGCCATGGAATCAGAAACCAAATTGCCAGCACCCTGATTTATTCAATTCAAAGACTGAGGAGAGTACCATACTATCATTCAGGTTTAAAATCAGATCAAATGCTTTAGAACTTACTACAGTGTCTTTACAGATGAATTTACAGTGAAAACAACTGTGAATGCAATTTATAATTTATAAGGAGACAAGCTAATATTGTAGCTCATAGCATCTAATATCAGTTGAGTGCTGATTCTGCATTAGGAATTTTCTAAGGATTTGAGATGTATTAGCTTGTATATTCTCAGTAAGAACCCAATGAGACAATATTCTTACCTCCATTTCATAAGTGAGAAAACTGAGGCATAGAGTTTACTACCTTAATCAAGGTCACCCATATAGTCAGGTGAAAAGTCTAGAACGACTGATAGAGGTTTACAATTATAGTTGATGTACAGTACAAGGTGGTGTGATATGAAAAAGAAAAAGAAACGCTTGGAATAGAAATATGGAAAAAAAAACCCCACTCACTCATTGCAGTTATGTGTTTTCACATATGTATTTCATTAAATGAACAAAAAATATATAAATTGGGGGTTAGCTGCCTAATTGTGACAGATGAAGAAGCGGAGAAATTAGGTAATCTGCCCAACAACACACAGTGATTGTAGTTGAGCACAGAGCTTCTAAGTGCTAGGGGACAGCCCTCCCTCTGGGGCTTTGCAGCTCTCTGGTCATCTGCTTCCTGTGGAGGACAGCTGGGGTCTCACTTGCCATGAATCCCCAGGACCTAACCAGGAGCCCAAAACCCTGGCACTTAATATTTGCTTTGATATAGTGGTGTTACTTAATTTCTCTGATATTTTTCATATATAAGACCATTATAGTCTTGGTTATAGTAAGAAAAGGAAATAATGTGTAAGAGAGGACCATGTACACTCTAAAGCCACAGATACACAGCAATCTAAGAGAATCAGTAACAATAAACACCACCAGTTTTCAGCTTTTTAGTAGTTTTTCTAAAGAGGCTGGTATTTTAGATGAAACTTTTAAAACAATTTAGTTAACATACTTAAAACTGTTACTAGTTCTATGCCTGCTGAAGTTTCTTTTGCATTTAGGGCAAATTTGCATCCCTTGTTGTAATATATACAAGAAGGAGTAACATACTGCACTATAATCCTTTTTCACTTCCGACCAACTTCTCCGCTCCTCCCCCCTCACAACAAACACAAAAAACAATGGGAATTTTAATTTCCTTAGGCCACTAAATACCTATTAGCCATTTTAATAAAGCCCAGTTTAAATGCATTGACCTGACAATGGACACAATCATGAAATGCAAGTCTCATTAACATGCTCTAAATAATAATATAACAAATGTAAACCTCAGTTGTATTTTAGTATTATGATAAATGCCCACTTCAAAGCCAATTCGTATTTCTAGTTGAAACAGAACAGAACCAGGGTGTAACATCCGTTCTGGTAGTTCAATTTGTTATGTTCTGGATAGTGTCAGTCTTTGTAGAACTACCCTTTCCCCAATTAAGGAACAATTTTGCCAATCAGTTTTCCTGGAGACTCAGCCTCACAGAAGTGAGGGAGAAGGAGGGAAGCAGGGAGTCAGGAGGGTTGCTGTACCTCCTGTCAAATCACCACTGATTAAAGGGACTGAAAGAATAGAGGAAAGTGCATTTCAAGAACAACAGAACCTTTCAGCAAAAGTACATTCGCCTAATTGAAAAGTGGCTGGAAGCTGGTATTTTTATACCCTAAAATGCTGAATCATTCTTCAAACAATTTCACAAAATCAATAAACGAGAAGTAGTTCCCTCTCGACCCCTTCTCCTAACCACAGCCTCTTTGAAATACTGCCTTTCCTTTTCTCTCCTGTTTAGATTTAGGGCCAAGTAGCCAAAGAGAGACAGCAACACATGAGCTCTTTCAATTAAGAATTACACGCTAAACAGGAAAAGGATCCGGCACATCCTGCACCACCTAACTCTATATTTCACTTCTGAGGTTTATACTTTGGAATTCTACAGCACTGAAAATAAAGTGGTTGAGGATGGGCCTCCATAAGGATTAGATCATTATTAGTTGCTGTTATTCTACTGAAAGATGTGAACAGAAGAAAAGGAAAGGGAAGAAGAAAGGACGGAAAGAAGGAAGGGGAGGAGGAAAAAGGCAAGCTCAGAGGGAACCTGGTTTAAAGTGAGAAAAATAAAAACGAAACAAACAAAAATCAGAAAAACAGGATGATCCATTGAGAGTGCCATGACGCTGTCCCACATTCTACTACATTTGCTACCTCTCCAGAGCACTCTGGTCACCTGCCGAGGAGGAGTGGTCAAACACAGTAAACTGCATTTCAACACTGCCACACTACAGTCAATCTGG